ATAGACCGAAATATTTATCAGATCAGACTAAATCAATTCAGACAAGACCAGACCAGATCAGACCAAAAAATTACAATCCAAGTAAAAACATCCTTAGTAACTCATTTTCACTTATCTCCATTAGTATAATAAGTAATTACAATTAGGAAATTTCGATTGAGCCTGTACAAGCAGTAGTGAGAAGGATTTACAAAACTATATTAACTTATTATGGAGCTCATAATTGATAAGTTCACTATATTTTGATGCGGAGTATGTTTTAAAAAAACTATGCTTTACTTTAGTCAAATACTCTCTGTCCCAAATTATAAGGCACTTTACAGTTTACAATGTTTGACCGACGATAAAGTAAATTGATCCCTGTCAACACTCAAATTAGTTTTAGAAAATAAAATTTACATATTCAAAAACTACATTAAAATCGCTACAAAGCCTGGAAAAAAAAATTCAAATTTCATAAAAATTTGATATATAAAGTAAGAGATTAGGAGTGATTTGTATTGACCTAGTGAATAGGAAAAATATTTATAAAATGGGACCGAGGGAGTATGGATGTTCTTACTTGGACTGTAATTTGTACCAGACCAGACCAGACCAGTTCAGACTAGACCAGACCAGACCAGACTTGGATAGTTATAAAAATACAAAGAAATCATACCTTACCAGACCAGACCAGATCAGACCAGATCAGACCAGACCAGACCAACAAATTACAGTCCATGTAAAAACATCCTATATGATAAATAAAAAGTTGCACAAGAGTTCGGAAGAGAGTACAATTCAAATTCCTAAACAGGTTTACCTTGTTTTAGGGTTTTAAAGAACAAAATGGATATAATTTGTCATGTAGTACACAATCATATATACCTGTTCACATACTCGTACTTGTTTGCATGTGTGTGTCTATATAGTATATGTACACACACAGAACACACATATCAGTTTCGTTTTTAATACTAGTATATTATATTAATATATTATTATGTATACTTCGTGTGTCTATATATATATATATATATATATATATATATATATATATTCTAAATATAATTTGAAGGGTACTCCTATGTGACTATGTCGTTAAATTTGCAGTCGATAGACCAAAGTACATCATTGCATTATTGGATAGATACAGGTAATATGCCGTTTTTTACAAATGCCGTTTCTTTCTTAGAGATAAGAAAATACAAATAAAAAGTAACAAAATACACAAATAAGATAATGTCGTTATAAACTTATACGGAGTATGTGTGTACAAAGTGCATATATGGTGCATGCATTTCGGTGCAAGTCACAATTGTGCTAGTGCAACTAGGCGCCACGTGAGAATTTTCAAAGGGATTTATAAAAATGTCAGCGCTACCACAATATGATGGTGTAGTGCACATCAAAGAGCTGGTAAAACAATACTCCGTATTAAATTAGATGTATTTTTTACTTGAATCAAATACTCCCTCCGTCCCTTATTGTTGTTCCAAATCAAAGTGACACGGTGATTAAGAAAGTGAGAATTGTGTGGTGGAGAGTTGTGCAGAGGAGAGAGAAATGCTGTGAACCACAAATTCTTTGCCAAAAAGGGAAAGTGAACTTCTTTTTGGGACATCCCAAAAAGGAAAGTTGGAACAATATTTAGGGACAGAGAGAGTATATATAAGGTGGCGTAAATTCAATAAAAAGTGGCGTTATCCGTGTAAAGTAGAACTGTAGAAATGACTGCAGTTATTATCCTGAATGGTGCACTATTGTCAACTGTCAAGGCCGCATCAAAGAATTTGAAGCCCTAGGTATTCAAACAAAAGTAGTACACAAAACATTTACATAAAAAAAATGACTGCAGTTTTTTTTTTCACAAAACATTTACAAGCACTGATTTGATGAATGCTTATTACTGTTTCAATATTATTATATACGTACTCTCTCAATCCAAGAGAACTTGTCCATGCTAAATTTCTTATTCAATAGTTAAGTTTGACTCATTATATTTTTTAATACGAAACTATTTAAAATATGAAACTTACGCGGAAAAGTTCATTTGTTAAAATTAGGATGTTTTCTTTTGAACTGAAATTTGCTGGTCTGGTCTGAACTGGTCTGGTCTGGTAAACGTCTGGTCTCTGTGTACTTTATAACTACGGAAGTCTGGTCTGGTCTGGTCTGATCTGATCTGGTCAGGTCTGGGACTGAAAACAGTCCAAAAGAAAACATCCTTACTTTCATAAAAGTATAAAATTTATAAATTTCACACAAATATAATAATCACGATCTATCAATATATGATTGTGTATAATTATATGATGCCGATCTTGGAATTTAATCTTACATGAAATTCTCAAACATTTTTACTCCTATTTAGAGGATTGTTCCCTTTTATCTATAAATGTGCACCTTCTTGAATCATAATGTGGATCGTTTTGGAGCCACATAGTGCATCAAATTCGATTAAAAGTGTTTGTTCTTACTGTACGTTCTCACGATAAGCTTGGTTCGTATTAAAAGCGCATCTTATATGTACATATAAATACACCATAAAATTTATTTTGGGGGACCCAGATCCCTCATGCTCTTCTCTATCTCTACCATTGATTTTTGGACAATACTAGATTTTAAACATGACAATATATTACTCCGTATGATAGTTGACATTTTTTTCAGACATATATGCCAATAATTATTCTTATTTAAAAACTAAAAATATGATAATGAAATTTGAAATGTATTTACTGATACCATACTTTAAGGCAAATTCTTTGTCTTTGTATATAATTGTCTTCTAGCACACAAACATATATACTCTTTCACATGGGCATATTTATTCGCATGCGTGTGTCTATATATATTTACATACACACCATTTGCAGTTTTTGTCACTCCGTAATCACTATATTATTATTATATATAAGTCGAGGGTACCATTATGATTTATGTCGGTAAACTTGCGGTTGATAAGAATGTGTATATATAATAATAACCAACGAGTACACAATTGCATTATGGCTTATATGCATGCAGTGAATATGGCAAACTAAACTATACATTCGGATATATATGTTCTTGTACCTTTTTTCACATATGTTCATTCGTAATTAAAGAATGTTCACTTAATTGTTTTCAAGGCAGTGTAGTTTCTAATTCCGTAATCATCAATTAGGTTTTTTTAGCTAGACTTATTTAAGCCGATGACCATACAATTCAAGATTAAACCAGATCAAATTAGACTTAAAAGAAGCATGTCTAATTAGACCTCGAAAGTTATAAAAGAGACAAAGACCGAAAACGTATCACACCATACCCGATCAGATCACATAAGATCAGAGTAGCTAGACTAGACCAGAAAGGGCTAAAAAGAAGTGATATTCAATCATACAACCATTATATTACAACAAATAGAATCATACATTGGGAGACTTCATCGCCTGCATTTACATGAGACTAAGAACTCTTGGTTGCTTAGCTAGGTTCATGGAAACTAGGTTCTAGCTACTCACATTGAATTACCATTTTTTTTATAAAACTGTTATATACATAATTTTTTTTTTGTTATATACATAATAAGATATCCTTAAGGATATCTTATTAATTATATACATAATAAGATAAGATATCCGATCCTAAGAGTTTTTTTGGATAACATAATTTTTCGTCACTATTTTTGTGTGTCAAAGCTCACATTGTATCCACACTTTTTGCAGTTTAACGACTTTATCTGGTTTTTAAATATATTTAGGATTTAAGTATTTATAAATATTCAAATATTGTCAAGACTCAAGAGAATGTTACTCCGTAAGTATTTATAAATATTCAAATATTGTCAAGACTCAAGAGAATGTTACTCCGTAAATTTTATTAGAGTCAAACATTGTAAACCAAAATAGCTAGGCTTACGGAGTACTCCCTCTGTCCCATTTATTTTGTCCCGTTTTAGCTTTTCGGGAAGTCCCACTTATATTGTCCCATACCATATTTGGCAATGTTTGTGTGGCTCTAAATCATTCTTACTTTATTCTTACTTTATCAATTAATATCAACCACACAAACTCACTTTTCTTAATAACTATGTCACCCTCTTCCGGGACAATATAAATGGGACCAGAGGGAGTATTAAATAGAAAAATGACTTGCATTATTTAATAAGGGGGGAAATAATTAAAACACCCCAAACTTTGAAGGAGTGTGATATGAGCACCCCAAACCTGCATATGTAGTTTTAATACCTCAAACTTTAAATAAAAAGTTACTTAATCACCATAGTTAAGTATTATTTCTTTAAAAAATGTAAATTTATGGTGTTAATTGCATAATGTAAAATATTTCAGAATTCATGAAGGCACAATTAACATTCTAAACTTCTATTGCGAAATAAATAACATTACCCCCAATCTATATAATTGCAACACTTTTACATTTCTATTTCAAATTATGCAATTAACCCCATAAACTTACACTTTTGAAATAAATAATACATGAAAATGGTGCAAAAATAACATTTTATATAAAGTTTGGGATATTTAAATTACAAATGCAAGTTTGGGGTGCTTACCTCACACCCCTTCAAAGTTTGAGGTATTTTTATTATTTTTCCTTATTAATAATGTTTGAAATTTCATAAAATGACTACCACTTTAATTGGATGAAAATATAAATGTTGAATTGTAACTTGTAAGTAGTATTTTTAATAACAGAACCCCGTAACATTTTTATCACTTGCAACAATTCCAAAAGTTGTGTATAGCATGTCAATGTAAATAAACAAATACGTTGTAAACATCTGAATGACATCCAAGCTCTCGTAGCTCAGTTGGTTAGAGCACCCGTTTAGTAAGCGGGAGGTCTTGAGTTCGACTCTCAACGAGAGCATATTTTTTTTCCCTTTTCCGCAGGTGTCATTTAGTCGTGAGAATTGAGCCGGGGTCTCAAGCGTGAAATGAAATAACCAATGAAACTCACTATTAATCTAAAATTTACAACCACGACTAAAAAGTCAAAAACTTTCTGAAGTGTTTGGATGATCTAAATCACAATTAGATTTTATCATTATATATGAAGAAGCTGGAAGGCATTTGCCGAAGTGAATTACGTAACAATAATTTTATCTGAGGCTAAGAATCTAAGATTATTGCATACATTAAAGGGATACTGGCTATACAACTTTGTAAGTCTCTATAAGACCCTCCTCCATCCCCTATCACCAACACCAACATTTCGGGCGCCTGCACGAGAAGTGTGAGCACCAACACCAGCATCTCATGCAACCCGGTTCGAAACACTTGCATTTTGGGCAATTCGGTTCCCATCTCGGGCAGCATGAACATTTTGTGTGGTCCATGCATTTAGGCTCACAAGAGCATTTTGATGATTCCGGGCAGCACGTGCCTTTTGGAACGCATATGGGCCAACAAGAGCATTTTGATAATTTCGGGCAACGAGAACATTTTGCGCATTCCATCGACTTGGGCCAGCAAGAGCATTTCTCACATTCCCCACACGTGGGCCAACAAGAGCATTTCGGGCATTTGGGCTTGCGCCGTTTAAAGCAGCAGCAAGGAGGAGGAAGAGTGTTTGATCTCTTCTTTGGCGGAGGGAGGAGTGTGGGCCGAATCTTTTGGAGGTGAGCCTTTGTGTCCATATTCTCCATTGCTTGGACAAAGTGGCATAGGTGTCTGATGTAGTCAGGGTAAAGCTCTAAGTTGCAATGCCCTCCGCCTTTTATCCACAACGGCTCGTACGGGTCCCTTGCCATTTTCCATAGAATGTCCCCATGCAACCAGTTCACCACCTCATCTTCTGTTCCCTGAACCATTATTTTTCATGACGAATCAAAACACTGCTAACTCAAGTAAGAAATTGTACCAAGTGTTGAAATATATACTAGTATTCCACATGATAGCGATGATGTAAAAAAGTGCCAAGTGCTCACTAGGTGATCAATGGGTCTAGACGGGTTTAATTGATGTCACTCGAGGCTTAAGCGAGCGATTAAAAACCTCTACACCTAGGTGGGGAAGAATCAGGGTTTATTAGGCCCGACAGGAAATCGAGTTAAATGGGCTACAGGCCACTGGGTCTGGATTTTGTAACAGAAACTTGAGGGCACCCGGAGATGAACTCCGAAAACAGACAACCGGATAAATAAAGTGGGCAAAGTCCTGTTCTAACTTTCCAAATAGTACTTCAAAAATCTCTAATGTCCTGGTACATGAAGAAGATAGTCTTTGTGCAATCCCTTGATGAGGTGAACTAAGAAATGAGACTTTAGATTTCAACTGCATTTGGTTGGAAAATCTCAAGTTCAAATGGGAAGATGTTAAGAAGAACTTACATGTATTACGAGCACCGGAGATTTCACCTTCTGAATCTTGTTTACATTCTGCATGCCATACTTGCAGCAATAAGCACATAAATTTGTTTTTTCCCTCAAAATACACAATTTCTGGAAATTCTGAATATTACTATACCTATTTAAAAGGCATGTAACAACAAACAAGAAACCTTAAATGTTTGAATCTAGGTCCAACCAAACTTACCTTATAAATGTCAAAACAAAATGTGAACTTCACATGACAAAGCACACGAAGACCAGAGAGAATGCCACTATGCAGAACAACACCTCTCAACCTCGGCAATCGAGCAGCCAAGTGCAATGTGGGCCCGCTTCCAACGGACTGTCCGTACAAAATCAAATCTTCCTGGCTAACTCCATACTGAGTTTCAAGACACTCATATACTGCCTCAATATCAGCATATGTATCATACTCGCTTGGCTGAGTCATAGAAAAAGCATTATGAGAAATTTGACTCACAGATTATATAGAAACATCATAAACATTCATTTTGGGAAAGTCGTTGTTTCGGTCCCTCAATCGTTCCTGGTTTTGAAATGTAGTCCCCTTGTTGTCAACAACTTCACGTATTATTTAGAAAGTAGTCATTTAAACTCACACCCTAATCTTAACCGTAGTATGTCTGTTTTTTCCTTTTTCCATATTTCAGAGAAGAGTCTCCTTTTGTTTTATCTTCTAGATAACAATGCTGGTTGACATAGTTAAACTGGTCGATAGGGTGTGATAAAAGTGTAAGCCCGGGTTCAATGGTCGATAGGGTGTGATAAAAAGTGTAAGCCCGGGTTCAATTGCTGACAACTATGTTCGGGTTCGAGCCTTCGAGGCAACCTTGCTCAGCAAGGAGCTCTTGTAAGTACTTGGTGCAGACCTCACATTTCAATTGAAATAATGCACACATTGAGAGACTGCATTCAATGATTTAAGAACAATCAAGGGACAAAAAGAACACTACTCCCTAAGCTATTACTCCGCAGTATATACCTTCCCTGAAGAAGCTCCATAGCCGGAATAGTCATATCTGCATATATTGATTGAAGCAAGAGCAATAAATATTTACATTCAGAAATTATTTACATTTGAGTTAGCCTCTCTGGGCAAAAATAATAAACAAATAAATAAACTAAAGAACGGAATCCAAAACTGGACAATTTCTTGAGAGATTGAATGGATTTCTTGATTCAACAGACATAATTTTGGTAAATTCCAAATAAATTGAATAGTGCACTCAGCCAGCCCATGCTGCCTAAAGCGGCACAATCAATTCATACTTCAAAGCATGAAGTTCAGCCCTGGAACAGTGTCAGATTCAAAGATGGAGGGTTCAGATTTTATTTCTAGTTGTTAATTAAAAAAATTATCGGCTAAAAGTGTGGGTTTCAATTAATCAGTGGGGATTAGTGCATTGGTCAAACAGAGAAAATTGAGAAGTGTCTCTATCCAAACGCACCACACAATCATGTTTCGTGTTTCACCATCGATTCTGTAGGTGTCTGTCACCCAGTGAATACCAATTTACCATTACAAGACAAATTAATTGGAAAACGTGAAAAATGTTGAAAAGGCTGTGAAAACCATAGAAATAACCCTGTCACACGAAACCCATGGGAATTTCTTTAAAAAAACAATCCCCATTACAGGGAAACCCATTATAAAAAATCAGATCAAGCTAAAAATTCCAGATCCAAAATCCAAAAAAGGTGGTTTTACAGTGAATAAGTGAAGTATAATTACTTATAAAGAAAAAAAATTATTCCTCAACTTTGCCCATGGGAAAGGGGCAAGTGGGGAATGCTAAACTCTAAAGACAGAAGACTATTTGCCGCAAGAATTAGAGAAATCTATTAAAAGATGTAATAAAAGTAAATAAATAGAGCAATGAGAAGAAATTCACCATATCCAAGCAAACACTTCACCAAATTAATAGGGAGTAAAATAAATTTACTCCAAACAATTAAACAAGGGAAAAGATGAAGAGCTGCGCAGAGACCATTTCTAAATACAGCTAATAAACATACACTGGCCCAGCAAGGAATAAAAAAGGAAAAAGATTTGATTTTTTTCCTTTTGTTTCTATCCGAGCTCAAGAAAGATGGCCAAGGGAAGACATACCCCATGAGGTTGACTCTGAGGTTAGCTTTAAGCTGAAGAAACAAGTCATAGAGCTGGCCGAGATCAGCCGCATTGCCGTGAGAGTACAACAAAGTAAGCCTAGCGTACGGGTTCTTGAGGTAAAAAGCTACAATCTTGTTTCCCCTTTTCGTCTGGAGCCGGAGGACATCAATACAAGGGTCGTCGGCGTCGCCGGCGATGGGTATGGAAGAGGCGGTGGAGACGGCGACGAGGTGCCCATCCCCGCGCTTCTTGACCTGGTAGGTGGCCGGAGACGGCGGAAAGAAGGCGAACTTCGACGCCAGCTGAGAAACCAAGCAACCCATTACTGCAATTTGAGCTAAACTTATCTGAAATCGAAGAAAGATTGAATCTTTCACCCGCCGGCGCCGCCCCCAGAGATGAATGGGCTCCGGAGACCCAAATCATGAATGCATGAGAGGAAGTGGTTGGACGGGTTGGTTGGGAAATGGTGAATAGGAGAGGGGTTGGGCTTGTTTACAGAGAGGGGGGAAGATAGAGAGAGAGGACTAATTGTGTTTGGCTAAATCAGTGAAAGCCTGTGAGATCATCTCTGTGTATGGATGCGTCCGAGAGAGAGTGTGTGTCTGTTTAGTGTGGACTCTGGTGCTCACAAGTGTATGTGATAGGGGGAGTTTTGGGTGACAAATATACAATGCATACCAAAATATGGGCAGTTCCAAGTGTACTGTTCCCTCGGTGCATTTAAATTGTGCTAAACTTTTTTGGTATTAGCTGTCTAGAGTATTTTTTATTTACAAAAAAAAAACTAATTAATAAATAATATTGTGTATAACCAAAACTAATTTTGATAGAGGTACACCCTATGTTGCACGGATACGGATACGACGATACGCGGATACACGAATACGGGTACGGCGATACGGCAATTTCAAAAATTATAGGATACGGGTATGGGGGTATATTTATAAATAATAAAAATATAGGGTATAATTTGCCAATATATATAATTCAAGGGTTCATAAATAAAATAATAATAGTACAAAAAATTAACTATTATAATAAAATTTCAAAGATTAGTCTAAAAAAACTAAAAAACAAAAGTACTAATATTTTGATTTAAATTCAAATAATATTTTTTTGTTCTCTATTTGCATTTACATCTATGTCTTGTTTCAATTAAAGCTCATCAAGCAATGAAATGACAAATTATAGTATTCCATTATTTTCCATACTCCCGAAACCATCTTTATCAATGTTCCACATGTTGTGGTAACTTGGGCGGCTACTAAATTTTCGTCATGTCGTGTATCACATGAGGGGTTATAGGGTCAGATACGCGTATCGGTTCACGGATACGGGTATCGGAAGTATCGGTATTTTTAAAATTAAGCCTGATGCTTTTATTAAATTACGGATACGGACCCAATACGTACAGGACGCGTATCGGTGAGTATCGGATACAGATACGTATCGGATACGCGGGTACGGCATCGAGGTGAAGTATCGGTGCAACATAGGTACACCATCTCCAATCTTTTTACTCTTTCTTCCCCTCTCTCAATCATAGGAACCATCCTTTTTTTAACCAAGGAACCATCCTTTTTATTCTTCTTTTTTCTTTCTTTTTATCTTTTATTCATACTGCATATTTACTCTTATCTTCATTTTTATTACTACGTATATCTTGGCACCAAAGAGATAAAAATTGAGAGTCACTTGAAAAGTCGCCGAAAAATTACATTGGAATGAAAACCAATTTTTGTGCGTGTGATATACTACCTACTTCCGTCCCGGTGGACTTTGCCAAGTGCAAAGTAGGTGAGAAATATGAATAGTAAAAACTGAGTGGTTGAGATTTATGCAGAAGAGAGAAATGTGCAGAACCACAAATTAGTTGCTTTAATAGGAAAGTGGCAAAGTTTTTTGGGACAACCGAAATGAGAAATTTGGCAAAGTCCAATGGGATGGAAGAAGTATAAAAGTATGTGTCATGTTAAGTGATGATATAATGTGTTTGTAAGGAAAAATAAATTTGAAAACATTTAACATTTTGTAAAATTTCACCAAAGAAAAAAATGTTTGTTTATATACACAAGTTTTCTTTCACTATCTACATACAAAGAAAAAAATATTGTAGAAAAGTCAAGATTAGTGATAGAGTATGGTCACAGACCTCACGACCCACATGCTTAGAAATACACAAACTAGACTACAACATTGAAGTACTCCTCTATTGGACCCCCTTAGCAAGATGAAGTCCACCCACATATATAGAAAGCTCTCAAGAAATGAAGAACTCCATACATAGGTCTGAATTCATCAAGAACATGTCATCTCGGCCTAGCCCCCATGGCATGCCCCCCTCGCCCAAGTTCTCTCAGCCTGACCACCTCAACATATGGTTATACTTTGTACTTAGAGGAATAAACATAAGTAAACGACCTATTAATGGCCTATCATTGTAATCGAGTCTCCCAGGCGTCAGACCTAGAAACTCAACTCACAGTTTCTCGATAAATACTCTCTTTGGGGGTACGTATTTGTAGAGGGTTGAAAAACATTAATTACTAAAAACCTTCTCACTCTAGCTCTCAGTTCAAAAATGAAACTATACTCTACCAGTTAGTTTGCATGACACCAATATTTGTGTGCACAGACAAAAAGGTCATTACATACACACACACATTTTTATCTATATACAGAAAGTGGTTTCCAAACAACCTAACTCTGACTTTTTGCAAAACAAGTATGCACATCAATGTGACTTATGCACAAATTAATGTATGTATACGGATATTAGTTATCTGTATACAGAGAAGACAAAAATATTTGTACCCATACATTTTGTATCTGTGTGTAACATTTTTGTTTGTGTATATAGACAAAATAAGTGTGTCGTTTCTGCAAAAAAAAAAACGCAAATCAATGTGATTTACATTGCAAAACAATGTTTGTATATATACATTAGTGATTTGTGTCCAGACAAAAAAAGTTTGCTCTCTCACATTTTTTGTCTGTGTAACATTTCTGTTTTTGTATACAAACAACTTAGGTTAGCGTGCAACCACCAAATCGATGTGAATGTCATGACATGCAAAACTAGAGTCTTTATACATACATTATTTGCCTGTGGCACAATTTTACAAAATGTTACTAGTTTTTCCATATTTCCTTACAGAGTGATCCAGATAACATTTTATATATGATACAAAATGTATTCTGGCGGATGTTCATCAATGGGTTTTCGATGATTTTCCAGCATCTCTCAAACTTCATTTATTTTTTCCGGTGATATTTCTAGGTGACTCTAACTTTGGCGATGATGAAGTAGGTAAAATGGAAGTTGATGTAAAGATGGAAGGTGATGAAGGTGAAATATGATGAAGAATCAAGATGAATAAGATGAAAATGTGAAGATGAGAGATAACAAACATGGAAGATAATGATTAAGAAAAAGAGGAAAACAAGATGGAAGATGGAAGATTGGAGGAGATCAGATCCAAATCGTATGGACCAAAGAAGAGGGACATAGGGGTAAGAAAATGGTAAATTTCATTGGTTTATAGTGTACCTCCAGCAAAATTGAACGTAATTGAAGTATAGATAGTAGATAAAAGCGTGATTTTAATAACTTTTTCTAAATATAACTCTGTTCAAATGTTACATGTAATAGCAATAAAAAAATGTTCCTAATCGCCTTAGTCACACTATGTCCACAAATTTTATTTTAACGCCCGCTATGGTCCTAAATAAAGTTCCTATTTTGACTTTATGATTTTTAATTAGAAAGTTGAATTTTTACCTTTGACACCCAGCATACCCTTACAATAGTAGATTACGTGTAGTAGAAAAGAGAAAATAAGTGAAAAGTAGGTAAATAAAGTAAGGGTATATAAAGGTAAATTTATATATAGAAAAACTTGTCAAAATAGATGATGACCCAGGATCCCCCGGTCCACATACTCTTTCCACCTCAACAAGCCCCCAACTACTCCAAGTGGCCCAAAGACAGCAACTGGACACCCCCTCGATTGGCCCCAAGCCCGACGGCTTCGAAAAGACATCCTCTCACAGAAATACCGTCTCAATGCATACGGACTACGACATTCCCGCCTCAGAGTGAGCCCTCGATTTTGAGAGTGAAGTCCTCGGCCTTGACTTAGATCACTTTCGGATTGGCGCTTCACACACTCAACCACCATTCAATGCTTCGCCACGTGCCCACATCGGTGCCACATCAGTCCTCTCTGCCATAAACTAGTTATACGTGTATGTGCATTTAATGTATTTAACATTTATGACTAGTATACATAGCGATCTCTTAGACAGATGTAATGGCTCAAAAATCCATAATACGACTTCTCTCTCCTTTAATAGCAATAATGATATCCCTATATTAGCTACTCCTCCCGTCCCAAATTGTTTTGCAAAGTCAACATTTTTTGGTCAACCAATAATAATAATCAATCATCCCTATCGATAATTAACTCAATTTTCAATAATTAAAATTTACATATTTAGAAACTACATTAAAATCTATTCAAAGTTGCAAACTCCAAATTAAAGTATAATTAAAAATTGACATCATAATTAAGCAAATATAATGAAACTGTTTGATCAAGAAAAGTCAAATTTGCAAATCAATTTGGGACGGATGTAGTATTTATATCAATAAAGGTGAGAACTTTATTTTTGACTTGTCCAAAGAAAAAAGTGAGAACTTTATTTAGAGTTTTTTACACATATATTACTACAAATAGTTAGATGGACAAAAAACTCACTAGTACGTCATTAAGGAAATAATCAAGTCAAAGAATGGAAGGAAAGTACAAACTTGCCCCTAGACGGTTACACTGAAAATGAAGGTGTCGGCTCAATTTGTGGGAATTGGACGCAAGCTGTGGGTTGTAGAGAAGAAGATGACCAGAGAATAGGCGTCAATTTCTCAAAAAAATATTTGAGAGAGGATTCATTTCATGCGCAAGAGGAAGAAGTTTTAAAGGGATTTTTTCAATATAATACGGAGTATGAAATTGTATTGTGATGCTTTATGAAACTACTGTTGTATTTTGGATACTAAGATACTCCGTATGTATTTGGGGGAGTACGTGGGGGTTTGTTACTTTAACCAGGAGACTCTGGCGAATAACCGTGCATAATTGTTTGCTGCATAGAAACTGAGACCATAGGAATGAAGTAGTGTGTGGGGTAACTTATAAATGGGTTGCTTTGTGGTAGTCACTAATATACAAAAGGAATAGTGACTTGAGGTAAATAAAAATAACTTTAAAAAAGTAACTTACATGTAGTAATGGATTGATAGGTAACTAAGTAATTTGGTATCATCGAGAGAATTAGGTGGCTTTCAAAGTTGTTAGTTGTTATCGATCAATATTAGAATGAGTAAGACATTATAGTAATATGATAAAGAAATAATTACATAAATATGATCAAAATAAAGATGATTTACAAAAGTATGACTAGTGACTAGAGTAGTAATGAAATCATAGTAATTCATGTTCAAGTTTTGAGCTTAAGTTACCACAACACCACATTGTAGTAATGAATAGTCATATTTATGTAAATATGTTTTATTTTAGTAATATTCTTGTAAAAAACCCTGATAAAAGGCCGTTTTTAATATTAAATAATTAAAACATGTGTTGAGTTTAATCCAACATGATATA